ATAGGAAGACAACCATGACTGACACATACATTTCCCCAGTGCGGACACACTGCAGCCAGCAGATGCAGAAAAACCATGTCATGTACACCCCACATAACCCACAGCTCACCCAAATTATACGAGTGTATACTCAGAAAGCTAAATCATTCACCATATTGATTTAATATACTGGGCAAATGATGCAAGCAACCGGACTAGGTGCAAAAGAGCCCGGCCTCAAGATTGGAGAGAGACTTGTTATCAACCTGTGCTATGCAGGTGACCGACGGAGCTTGCTGAAAGTGACAAGGCCTTGAAGCACTGACGACGATGAAAGCCGCCTTCAGTGGGGAGAGGGAAACAAAAATCCTCTCAAATGAACCGATGCACAGCCTCCATGATAAAGGGGTGGGGGGATGTTGGCATTGTCAAAGGATTCCCCTTTGCTTGGGTCCACAGTGAACACCCATGCAAGCCTAAGATGAGTTTGGTCTCATATGCATTCGAAAGCTGGACTGAATAAAGAAGGCTGAAAAAGAATTGATACCTTTAAATTATGGTGTTGACAAAGACGATTGCACTTATTATGAATTGTCCTGAGAACAAACAAACTTGTCTTGGAAGAAGGCTAGCCAAAACGTTCCTTAGAAGCACGGAGGACAAGAGTTTGTCTCACATATTGGGCATGCTATCCGGAGGAAGCCGTCCCTGGGGAGTAACGTCATCCTGATAAAACAGAGGATCGGCAAAAATGAGGAAGACCAGCAGCAAGGTGGACCGACAGAGCAGCTGGAACAGTGGGCTTCCCCCTAGCAGTGCTGAGGCCGGCGCAGGACCGAGCAGGGTTTGCTCTGCTGGACGTCCGACCCGTTGTGAGTTCAAGACATCAAGGGGGCACCTCAAAATAACAAAGCCAAATTTAATTTTAATTAAAATAAGAAGCTAACTGACTTGAAGCTACAGCACATTTGAGGAAGTTCTGGCACTGAATCACAACATGATGCTTTATATGCCATTAGTTTTTCGAACATTGCCATTTATGCCATCACACTCAGAGAATTCATTAAAAAGTAAGATCTTCAAGTTTGACTATAAATTTCATGCACAAGAACTAATGTGGTATTTCAGACATCACAAACTCCAAAACGATCTTAAATATGTTGTCCTCTACTAATTGGCTACTCTTGAAAATGTGCAATAAATTCAATTAAAAAGGAAAGCAACCTTAATTTAGTTGCAAAATCAACAAAGATATTTTCTGCTTACTCCATGTATCATAATAAAGCCCCATCTAATATGCATTACATTGTTAAATTCAGAAGAAATTGGATATTCTCCCAATAAAGGGAAGAAGGCCACTCCCCACCCCACAAAACAAAAAAGGCCAATAATTGCTCTACTAATTTCTAGACTAGAATAAATAATTGTCGAACTGGGTCCTCTGGGCAGTCACCCTCCCTGAAATAAGGGGTCAATAAAGCATGTGCAAGCACTCGGGCACACATGCAACTTCCACCCCTGTTCCTTCCCTGAGCCATACTGCCTTCGAGCGTCAAATTGCTTTCCAAAGGCCTCTGGAGACTGGGCAGATACAAGTCCTCAAGCCAGGGGCTTCTCCTCAACAATAAACAAATCCAGGCCTCTGTGCTCCACAAGACACTCTGTTGAGAATGCATCACACAGTCTCACGTATCTACGGGAATTCATAATTGGGCAACCTCTACTTTTGCATGCAAACATACATGTGGCACGCTATTGGAACACCTTAATCCCTGCTAACATCCCTGCTTAATGCAGCGCCTTTTGCACATCCATTTCTGAATTCACCCCAGTAGAAAAAGTCAAAAGGAGCTAATGTCCTTGGACACTGGAGAGGAGGGAGGAGATAGGATGTTGGAATTTCTGCCACCCAGAATCCTCTTCCCCCTCTCCAGAGCCCCCTGCCCTCTCTCCCCTCTCGCCCCTTCCCATACCCCAGGAGGGAGGAGGAGGGACTGCGGGCAGGAGGCGGCCACTGACCGTGCCCTGGGTCGCCTCCAGTTGTCACTTACCCAGCAGGGTGAGAATGGCTCATGTTGGCAGGGCCCTTTCAGACCCCGCCTAGGCGCGCAGGG